CTGATGTAGTCGCCAGGTACTTCGCCACCCTCATAGCAGCTGTCCAGTGAACAGGACGGTGTCTCCCAGTCGCAACAAAGCGAGAGAGGACGCTAAGGGGAAAGGCGAGGTCCGGCCGAGTACAAGTCATCAGGTACACGAGGCAGCCCACAAGCTTTGTTTAGGGACCACTAGACTCAAAGGGCTCGTCGGGAAAGGAGCCAGTGAGTCTGTGGTCAACAGCAAGAGGAGTGGGCTGGGTGGTGGAGAACTGAAACTCGAACCGCCGAAGGACCTGCTGCACCATGTGTGACTGCGTCAGTGTGATGGTGCGAGCGGCTCTGTCCCTGGTGATCTGCAGGCCAAGGTAGCGCTGCAGTTCACCGAGGTCAGTGCACGTGTGTCTCTTCTGCAGTTCGGACTTCACCTCAGCCAGAGCTGCCCTGTCTGCTGTAGCAAAGACCAAGTCGTCGACGTAGACAAGTATAAAGAATGGAGTGGAACCAGCGCGAACAAACATCGACGGGTCGGCAGAAGAAGGACGAAACCCAAGGTCACGTAGCGTGGAGTGAAGAGTGTCGTGCCACTCACGGGGCGACTGGCGGAGACCGTAGACTGGTCGCCCCAGGCTCCACTGGGTCCCAGGTGGGAAGGTGTCAGTGAAGCCAGGAGGACCCCGCAGCCAGATATCCTCATGTAGGCGGCCCTGGAGAAATGCAGTTGAGAAGTCGAGGGAGTGCAGCTCGTAGTCTCGCTGTGCTGCTACGTGCAGTAACACCCGAAGAGTAGTCATCTTCGGAGTCGGGGCGAAGGTCTGAAAGAATTCAACTCCCTCACGCTGACTGAAACCCCTAGCCACGTAGCGCGCCTTGAAGACATGCGGTGATCCAGGCGGCCGCTTCACCTTGAAGAGCCACATGCCATCGACAACGTTCGCCCTGGGAGGGGGAAGTGCGTCGACGTAGGTGCCTGTGGATCTCCAAGACGCTAACTCTGACTCCATAGCCGCTTTCCACTGAGAGACCCACTCCCCTGACACTGCCTGGCGGTAGGTGCGAGGAGTCGGAATGTCAAGGGCGTCGGAGTCTCCCTCAGGGGAAAGCAGCATGGCACAGAGAGAGGGAGAATCGGCTGCCAAGAACTCCAGCTCAAACTGCCTGTCCTCTAGGACGTCACAGCCAAGGGCAAACTCACCCCCGGCGGACAAAGGACGGGCAGGCGGAGCAGCCACTACACGCGTGGCGAAGTCAAGGCGGCGGGTAGAAGCAAAGTCAGTGACAGCGGCAGTAAGAACCAAGACAGACGACGGAGAGGCACGAGGGCCGGTTACAAGAGAGGCGAGAACACGCGAGACAACAGGACGAGTAGCACGGTAGTAGTCAGTGATAGGGTGAGAGGAGACAGTGAGAGACGACGCAGGAGGTGGCGGGAGAACGAACACAGGCAGAGAACGACGAGGACTAGAACGAAACAAGAAAGTGCAGAGGTCGTCAAAAGGAGACGAGGGACAAGCACGCGGAAGACAACGAGTGGTCCAGTCGTGCGGGAGAACAGGAGGAGGCGACTGTGACTGAGGAGGAGAGAAAACAGCCGTAGCCGAGTCCGGAGGAGGAAACCCCGTACGCGTTAGGAGACTGTGAGTGGACAGGAGGAGCAGATGGAAGACCAAGGGCCCGAAGGCCACTCACTGGTGGGGACAGTAGAGGCTGCGGCGAACGCTGCTGCTCCTTCTGCTCCTGCAGGTCCAACTGCCGCAGCTTCTGCCTCTCCTGCTCCAACCGCTCCTGCTCCTCACGCTCACGTCGGCGAGCCGCCTAGAGACGTGTGTCGTGGCGGTGGGGAGGCGCAGTAGTAGTGCCTCCAGCTCCAGTCTCCTCGGAACTAGCACCTCCAGTGCCAGTACCTCCTGCTCCAGCACCCCCATAACTAGCACCTCCAGCGCCAGCACCTCCAGCTCCAGCACCCCTAAAAAAAGTTCCCCAACAACGAGTACCTCCAGTAGCAGCACCTCCAGCTCCAACACCCCCGGAGTCCACAGTAACCTGTCGCGGAAGTGCCGAAGACTGCTGAGGGGACTGTGAGGAGGACTGCGGGGAGGGAGACGCTACCTGACGCATGACCGAGGGTAGAGGGGTAGCGTGAGACACACCTGACGGGGCAGGACCAGGGGGGGCCGAGGGTACCGGAGGAGCGGGAGCAGGAGGAGGAGAGGGTGCGAGGAAAAGGGGAGGGGGGAGAACCGGGAGACCTCGACAGGGGTAGCGAGCGTAGTAGGACACAGACTCGTCAAACCGGACGTCACGGGAGTCGAGGAGCTGACGGAGGGGCGGGTGGTAAAAGGCGTAGTCGGGAGAGTCCACCGGGAAACCAAGGAAGACACAAAGGATGGCACGAGCCGAGAGCTTGTCCACAGAGGTGTCGTGGACAAGCGCAAGGCAGCCCCAGATACGAAACGCCGACCCAACACCAGGGGACCCGGTCCAAAGACTGGTCGGTGCAGCCTCTGGCCGCAAGACATGCGGCTGGAGGTTCAGCCGGTGGGCAGCGTAGCGAACCGCGTAGGGCCACAGAAAATGGGGCGCACGGGCATGGATCGTGGACGTGCGGGCGATGTCCATGACCAAGCCAATGCGGCGCTCAGCAACCCCATTCTGCTGTGGGGACTCCGAAAGCGTCCAGGACTGTGAGATGCCCTGTTCGCCGCAGAATCCGCGAAGAATGCCGGAGCGAAACTTGGCCCCACGGTCGGAGTGGAGACAGGAGACACGACGACCACGAGTGCCCTCAGTGGCCAGAAGCCACCGGATCAGCGTAGAAGTCACATCGGACTTCTTTGCGAGAGGAAACACCGTGGTGTACCTGAAGTAGTCGTCGACGACCACCAGAAAGTAGCGCTCCCTCTCAGGTCCCTGCGTAGGGGCAGGGCCCCAGACGTCCAAGTGGAGAGTCTGGAAGGGAACAGTGGCCGGACGAAGGGAGGAGGAGTGCGGAGTGGCGCACAGGCGGCCGGCGACGCAAGGAGTGCACGGCGGTGCAGGCGAGGGAGGGAGCGACGCAAAGACGCGAGGGAGACCCGAGACAAGACGGTGACTAGCCATGCTACGGAGGTGGGTGATCGACGGGTGGCCAAGACCGTGGTGCCACAAGACGGTCGGGTGGGCGAGAGACCGACAAGAGCAAGACGCAGCAACCTGACCAGACGCAACAACCTAACTAGACACAGCAACCGGAGGGGACGCAGTAACCTGACAGGACTCTGCTACTTGGGGGGACGCAGTAACCTGGTCGGACTCAGCTACCTGGTGGTACGCAGTGTGCAGAACGAAGAGACCCGAGTGGGGCTCCCTGGTAAGAAGTGCCCCGGTGGAAGCATCCGTACAGATCGCCATCCTCCCGTGCACAGGAAAAGTGACCGTGATCCCACGGTCCTGAAGGTATCTTACACCCACCAAGTTCCTAGAGAACGAAGGGATGTAGAGACCAGTGAGAAAACCAAAAGGGACAGCCGGGCACGGGAGAGTGGTCGAGTTGCGAGCGACTGCTGGTCGTGAAGTAGGATCAGCCAGGGCAACTGGGACAGGAGCCGAAAGAGGTGTGACAGTGGTGTGGTCACGAAAGAAGCACTAAGACGCGCCTGAGTCCGTGAAGGAGACCGACGCGACAACAGTCGTCACGGCTGGACTAGTGACTACACAAGCACCTACACTAAAAGCACAAGTACCTACACTAGCAACAGGCAAAGTTCCTAAGCTAGGTACACGCAAGACAAGAGATCTATACGTGACAGAATAAGCAGCATCCATAGACATATCAAACACAAGGTAACCACTACGAGACAAACCGGGCCAGATCGGTGGCCTCGACTCAGGCCTAAAACGCTCACGGTATAGGTCGTCGACGCGGCTGTAGCAGCGCTGTGCAGATTGGTCAGGACGCCAGCAGGTAGTGCCAGCACCAGGGCCAGTCAAGATCCGGTACTGGCAGGGGCCGACGTCGCGGCCACCGCGACGAGCCCCCCAGCTGGCTGGGCCGCTGCTGTAGCCAACGTTACCCGAACCACCAGGCCCCCACGGCTGCTGAGTGCGCCACTGCTGCTGAGGGCGCCACTGCTGCTGAGGGTGCCACTGCTGCTGAGGTTCCCATTGCTGAAACTGCCACTGCTGCTGTCCCTGCTGCTGGAGAACTCTGGTGGACGCCATGGTAAAGGCTAGCGGGGTGCAGGAGCGGCAGGCTAAGAGCGACTGGAGCTAGGAGTGAGGAGTGAGAACAGCTAGGAGCGCCAGGTGAAACTAGGCGAGGAACGGCCGGAGCACGAAGCAAACTGAGCTAGAAGCGACTGGAACAAGGAACGGCTAGAGTGAGGCACGGCCGGAGTGAGAAAAGTCAGGCTAGAAACTACGGGCTCGAGGAGCGGCTGGAGCGAGGAGCGAGAACAGCTAGGAGCGTCAGGTGAAACTAGGCAAGGAACGGCCGGAGCACGGAGCAAAGTTAGAACAGCTAGGAGCGCCAGGTGAAACTAGGCGAGGAACGGCCGGAGCACGGAGCAAACTGACCTGGGAGCGAGGAGCGAGAACAGCTAGGAGCGCCAGGTGAAACTAGGCGAGGAACGGCCAGAGCATGGAGCAAACTGAGCTAGAAGCGACTGGAGCAGGAACGGTTGGAGTGAGACACGGCCGGAGCTAGAAGCAGCGGGCTAGAAACTACGGGCTCGAGGAGCGGCTGGAGCGAGGAGCGAGAACAACTAGGAGCGCCAGGTGAAACTAGGCAAGGAACGACTGGAGCACGGAGCAAACTGAGCTATGAGCGAGGAGCGAGAACAACTAGGAGCGCCAGGTGAAACTAGGCGAGGAACGGCTGGAGCACGGAGCGAGAACAACTAGGAGCGCCAAAGGTACACTAGGAGTAGGAGTAGCGGCCTCCAGCCGCGGCGGAACGGTGAACCAGTGAAGGAACGGTAGGAAACGGGAAAACCGACGGTGAGAAAGCCCGAGAACGGCCTGCTAAGGGCCGTGGCGCGCTAGATGGCCTGTGGGCGGCTGTGGGGGGGGGCTTGGGGGCGGCTATGAAGGCATGTGGGCGGCTGTGAAGGCCTGTGGGCGGCTGTGAAGGCATGTGGGCGGTTTTGAAGGCCTGTGGACGGCTGGATGGCGCGCGCTACTCTACTGAGTGGCGTGCATTGTTCTGCAGGGGCACGAGCTGCTCTGCAGGGTGGCGCGTGTTGCTCTGCAGGGGCGCGCGCTACTCTGCAGGGTGGCGCACGCTTCTCTGCAGGGTGGCGCGGGCTGCTCTGCAGGGGCGCGCGCTGCTCTGCAGGGGTGCGGGCTGCTCTGCAGGGTGGCGCGTGTTGCTATGCAGGGGCGTGCGCTGCTCTGCAGGGTGGCGCACGCTTCTCTGCAGGGTGGCGCTGGCTGCTCTGCAGGGGCGCGCGCTGCTCTGCAGGGGCGCGGGATGCTCTGCAGGGGTGCGGGCTGCTCTGCAGGGGCGCGGGCTGCTTTGCAGGGGCGAGCGCTGCTCTGCAGGGGCGCGCGCTGCTCTGCAGGGGCGCGGGATGCTCTGCAGGGGCGCACGGGCGATGCGCGGGTTAGGGGCTAGGCGAGCGGGCTACGTGCGGGATAGGGGCAGGGCGCACGGGCGACGCGCGGGCTAGGGGCAGGGCGCACGGGCGATGCGCAGGCTAGGGGCAGAGCACGGGCTAGGCGAGAGCACGGGGCGTAGGCGCGGGCTAAGTGTGCAAAACCGGGCTAGGAGGGAGGGGGGGGAAACGAGGGCGTGAGGCGCCACGGCGGAGCGGACTGAGCGAGCGAGCGCTAGGAGGAACGGACGGAGCGGGCTAGGCGAGGCTAGGCTAGGCTAAGGAGCGAACCTCATGATACCATCTCAAGAAGTACGCACAACGGAATGATAGGAATAGAAACGGATGGGATACAAGTATGCAACCCTAACAACTGTACCCCCTAGAAGGCACCTCACTACAGCCTACAAGATTTATTATAGTTTGACATTTTTGCTCTAGGGTAAAAAAATGGATACCCTATTTTTGCAAGGGTAACTGGGAAAAAGCGGCCGCCCATCGGGGAAAAAAATGTATTTTACCCTGATATTTTGGGCCCTGAGACTAGGCCTCATGATGGGGCTTGATATCATACTGATGCATTTGTGTGGTATATCCCCTTCATAAGTGTGTCTAGCTTTGAGTTGATAGTTGACCAGTGTAAGGAAAATCCCTTTTTTCCTTACTTCGCGTCCCTCCCTGCTCACCGCGTACCCGACTGTTCCCGCCACAACACCCCAAAAGTAACCGTTACCACCACGCGACATTCGCCTTGACCAGTACTCCCGCACTATTTCCATCGCACCCCAACCACACGGTTCGACTGGTAACCTGCGCTCCGACCCTCCGCCTCGACATTTCCGAACCTCGGCATCGGGCCCGCAGAGCACCCACATGCTATGATTTGTACTAAACAGAGTGCGTGGAAGACTTTATAAAAAGGATGTGATTACCGAATGCCAAGATAATGAAGAAAGAGAGCATTTATAGGGTGGAAACCGTGCTAGGCGAGGGCCTCAGGACGTGCGTGGGTTGGGAATGTCGTGATTGGTGCGGGGCGACTCGGAATGTGGTTCGGGCCGAAGTGTAGGCCGAACCCAAACTGACGCGAAGTGTTCGGGCTGTCCTCGCTAGGAGCAGACTCTACAGGAATAAATTCTAAATCATTACACTCTCCCACCTTCTAAATAAGGCCCCCTTGTACGTAGCCGAGTCTTGCAGTAGCGTGAAAACTGCAGATCTTCGGTCGAAGGCGGTGCTTTTCATTTCGTCTGATCCATAAGACTAGTGATTTCAGTTCATCTGATTTTTCAGCGCAAGAGTTGTACTTCGTCTGAAATTTCAGATAACGAGTTTTGTTTCGTCTGACATCGCCCCCCTCCCCATCCTCCCCTCCCTTCCCATTCTCCCCACCCCTCTCCTTCCCGAATCCCTCGCTCCTCTACTACACCAGCCCAACGCCCCCCTTCAAGGGCCTTCGCTCCTCTTCTAGCCCCACTCCAGCCCTTCCCCTTCTCCCGTGAAATCCCGAGGTCCCTTCTCCCCACCCAGCCCCCTTCCCCGTATCCCCCGTATCTCCCAGCCAGGCCTCTGGTTAACACGGTGATTCACCCTTATGACCCTTACTATTAGGCTAGGTTTGACTATGCACCCTTTCTTATCAGAGTGGTAAGTTTTTAGACCCTTACAAAAAAAAGGGTTACGTTATACGACAGTGATATTTCAGAGCAAGTTGGTGTAGTAGCACTGATGATACCGAGTTCGATCTAACAGAGAACAGTAAAATTGGTCGCATAAAACACGAGTCCCCATCGGATTCCCGCGCCAGGTGTCGAACATGGGTCCTACGCATAACCTTGACGCCGCAACCCGCTGCGCCACAGACAACTTTCCTATTTGTGAGAGTATACTAGAAAGGGGAAAACGTTTTTGCACCCTGATATTAAAAAGTAGCTTTTGTGATGTACCCTTACAGAGAAGGTGAAAGCGGGAAGTTAACATTACGAGGAAGAGTAGCTCAGAACCTATCCAGAGGCCTGCTCCCAGCCCAGCTCCCGTCCCCGTAAGTCCCTCCCTCCCCCTTGGTCCCTCGCATCGCATCTCGCATTTACAGTCCCTCATGTCACGTGCGTCTGAAGGCTTGGGCATTGGCCCGACCCGACCCGAACCGACCCGACCCGACCCGTTTGGGGCTACCCGAGGGTGGGGTGGGGTCGGGTTGGGTTACCCAACCTCGGGTATTTAGGGTCAGGTTGTTTACCCGACCCGCTTTGTACACCTTGGGTATTCATAGCCCGAGGTCGGGTCGGGTATACCTGTTAAAGACAATGTGATGTATTTTTTATATGTATAATATTTCACAGAGGGTGATGGCGCGCTCCCGTTAATTACCTATACTCCTAGCCGTAAACGTATAGTTAGGCGCTTCTTATGGCATTCCGCAAGCCGATAGCATGTTTGACCAGGTCGGGTATCGGGTATCAAATACCCGAGGTTGAACACCCAGGTCGGGTATCGGGTATCTGTTACCCGCACTACCCGACCCGCCCGGGTAGTCAAACTTGAAATGAAGACCCGACCCGTCTAAAAGGTCGGGTCAGGTCGGGTTACCCGACCCGACCGGGTACTTTGCCCATGCCTACTCACCAACAAGCCCGTCGCCACCCAACTTGTCACACGCCTGTCAGCTAGCGCGCTGTCAATGCCGCACCACCGCATCCGCCATAAGCTTCGAGAAAAAAAACAGAGATGAATCACGCTTGACTAGTGTTTTAGTTAAATCAGACCATGCAAAACAAATCGTCTGAAAAACTAGACATAACTCCAACATTCGTCTGAAGAAAGGAAGGCAAACTGTGCACAGTTTGCCTACCGAACCCACAGTTGACCTCCCGAGCCAGGCTGCTTACCAGAAAACAAAGCGCCAAAAATCAGAGTGTCGTAGAGCAGAACGGGTTTGGTTGGCGAGAGTCCCAACCACACCCTCCTGAAGGAACAAGGGCTCAAAATGTGCACAGTTTGCCTTCTTTGGTAATTCAGGTCGTGCGATTTCCATAGTACGCGAAGCGATTAGATCATGCGAAGAGAGGGAATAAAAAGCCACTAAAGCATAGGCCATGAGCATTTTCACCTTTAGTCCTAGCCCATCCCCAAACATCGCATTTGGACCTATCGCCTTCCGCGTCCCCCACGCTTCTCCCCACCGTCTCTCACACACCTCCCCACGCACACGCCCACGCTTCCCCTCACCGTCGCCCACGCTTTCCCCCACCGTCGCTCACGCTTCCCCTTACCGCCGCTCACGCTTCCTCCTGCCTTCCCCCACGCTTCCCCACACCGTCGCTCACGCCTTCCCCCACCTTCCCTCACGATTCCCCTCTCATCGCCCACAGTTCCTCCTACCGTCGCCCACGCTTCCTCCCACCGTCACCCACGCTTCCCCCCACCGTCGCCCAAGCTTCCCCCCACCGTCGCCCACGCTTCTTCCCACCGTCGCCCACGCTTCCCCCCACCGTCGCCCACGCTTCCCCCCACCGTCGCCCACGCTTCCCCCCACCGTCGCCCACGCTTCCCCCCACCGTCGCCCACGCTTCCCCCCGCCGTCGCCCACGCTTCCCCCCACCGTCGCCCACGCTTCCCCCCACCGTCGCCCACGCTTCCCCCCACCGTCGCCCACGCTTCCCCCCACCGTCGCCCACCGCCACCGTCGCCCACCCCCACTGTCGCCCACGCTTGCCCTCCCATCGCCCTCGGTTAGCCTTCCCGCCGACCTCCCTTCTCTCCCACCTCTCTCCACGTCGGCATCACTCCCCTGCCTATCACGTTCCCCCTCTTCACCGTCGCGTCTCCACCCATGCCGCCCACCCTCTCATCCCTTCCCATCGCATTTAGGGTCGTCGTTGTATCCCTTCCCCATTTCCTCGTTAGGTCGCTCACGCTCTCCCCATTACCACCTTCTCTACCCCTACCATCGCCCATGGTTACCACCCCACCCTTGCACCCTTATTTCCTTCTCTCGCATTCTCCCTCCCCATCAGCCTCTCACCCACCCTGGGCGGGGAGGTATGGCGGGCTGGGCTGGGAGCTGGGGAAGGGGTCGTGACTCGTTTGCTGTGGGGTGTGGAAGGGTGCGTGGTCAGCAGCACCCACCCTTCTCTCTCTTGCAGTGACCTCCTCTCCTTTCTCGCACCAACCCCACACGCATGGCAGGTGGTGGTGCGGCTTTGGAGCAGAGTGTTTGGCGCACAGCCAGGGCAGCGCGTGCAGGCGGGCAGCAAGGAGTGCAGTGCTGCAGGGGGCGGGTCAGGGGAGCAGGGGAGGCGGGGGAGGCGGGGCAGGGGAGGCGGGAGTTAGGGAGAGAGGGTGCAGGGATCCTCCTATCCCCCGTTCCACCCTTATAACCTGCCACACTTTTACCTCCTGCCCTCCTCCCTTACTCCGTTCCGTCGTTCCCCCACAGTCGTCCTCCTCTCCCTCTCCCTTCCTCCCTTCCTCCATCTCTCTGCCTCACTACCCTCTTTACCCTCTCTGTTGCCCGTCCTCCCTTCCTCCCATCCTTCCTTCCTGCCATTCTTCCTCTCCTCATCCTCCCTCGATCCAGTCCCCCTTCCCCTTTCCATCTCCCACTCTCCCACTCCCTTCCTCACGCCAACCCTGCTCCTCCGTTCCACCCTTCTACCTTCCCCCTTGTACCCAGCCGCACTTTTTCCTCTCATCCGCCCATCATCTCATCCGCCCATCATCTCATCCGCCCGTCCTCTCATCCGCCCATCCTCTCATCCGCCCATCACCTCATCCGCCCATCATCTCATCCGCCCATCATCTCACCCGCCCATCATCTCATCTGCCCATCATCTCATCCGCCCATCCTCTCATCCGCCCATCACCTCATCCGCCCATCATCTCATCCGCCCATCATCTCATCCGCCCATCCTCTCATCCGCCCATCACCTCATCCGCCCATCCTCTCATCCGCCCATCCTCTCATCCGCCCATCACCTCATCCGCCCATCCTCTCATCCGCCCATCATCTCATCCGCCCATCCTCTCATCCGCCCATCATCTCATCCGCCCATCCTCTCATCCGCCCATCATCTCATCCGCCCATCCTCTCATCCGCCCATCACCTCATCCGCCCATCCTCTCATCCGCCCATCATCTCATCCGCCCATCCTCTCATCCGCCCATCATCTCATCCGCCCATCATCTCATCCGCCCATCATCTCATCCGCCCGTCACCTCATCCTCCCATCATCTCATCCGCCCATCCTCTCATCCGCCCATCCTCTCATCCGCCCATCTGTTAGAATTATATGTTCTAGCATGCTAACACTGTGACTGTACACCAATTGTGGTGTACAGTTGGGTTGGGACTACACCCAACTTTGGATGTAGTCTTGCATTGGGGTGCCAATCCACCCAATTGTGGTGGAGCCCCCAAATGCAACCCACTTGGCCTAAGGTTGCCTCACTTCCCAAAAGTGAGGCCAACCCAACCCAAGTGGGCCTGAGGTTGCCTCACTTCCCACAAAGTGTGGGCAACCCAACCCACTTGGCCTAAGGTTGCCTCACTTCCCAAAGTGAGGCCAACCCAACCCATGGCCAACCCAACCTTTCCCCTCCAAGCTTCTCATCCAACCTATGTATGCTTGTTTCTCCTCTAATGAATTCAATGGTTTATGTTCAACTCTACTTTCACACATGGTATAGAGCTTAACTCCTTGGCTTACATCTCCCTCCCTCCCAAAAATTTTATTCCTCCTTCTCCCAAGGGCCCACCCTTCCCCGCTTAGCCGCCGTGGCCTAGACCGCCGCCGCCGCCCCCAATTTCGCCCGTCAGTTCTGCTCCCGCGGGCATTCCGCCCGTCAGTTCTGCTCCCGCGGGCATTCCGCCCGTCAGTTCTGCTCCCGCGGGCATTCCGCCCGTCAGTTCTGCTCCCGCGGTGAAGGAGGCGCTGGCGAGCTGGAAGGGCGAGGCGGTGAAGGCCGCCATGGAAGAAGAGATCCGCAGCCTCATCGGCATGGGCACTTTGGGAGCTGGTCGAACGCCCACGCGGAGTGAACATCATGAAGAACCGGTGGGTGTTGACGACCAAGTACCGCATCGACGACACCGTCGAGCGCGAGAAGGCGAGGTTGGTCGTGAAGGGCTTCACGCAGGTGTACGGCGCCGACTACGACGAGACGTACTCGCCGGTGAGCAGCTACGTCATGCAGAGGATCTTCCTCAGCATTGTCGCCGTCCTCGACCTCCACTTGATGCAGCTCGACATGAAGAACCCTTTCCTGCAAAGCAAGCTCGACAGGGTGCTCTACATGTACCAGCCGGACTACTTCGACGATGGGACCGGCCGGGTGTGTAAGCTGCTGAAGAGCCTCTACGGGCTGAAGCAGTCGCCGCTGCTGTGGTACAGAGCTCTCGACGGTGTTCTGCTGGGCACTGGCTGGAAGAAGAGCCAGGTCGACGAGGCGCTCTACTTCAAAGTCGGCGACGACGGAGTGACTTGCTGGGTGCTGGTCTACGTCGACGACCTGCTCACCGCCAGCAGCAGCCCCGCGATGCTGAAGGAGTTGAAGGAGCTGCTGGAGGCCGCCTTCGAGCTGCGCGAGATCTCGCCGGTGTAGAAGTACCTCGGGCTGGAGATCGTGCGCGACAGGCCGGCGAGGAAGCTGTGGCTGCACCAGCAGAACTACGCCGACAAGCTGCGCAGACGCTTCATCGACGAGGAGCAGGGCGGTCGAGTCCCGAAGACGCCGGTCTCGGTCGACGCCTACGCTCAGCTGACGTTTGACGACGAGGAGGCCCAGGAGCGCGAGGAGGAGGAATACCGGCAGAAGGTCGGCTCGCTGCAGTTCGCGGCGACGACGACGAGGCCGGACATCGCGTTCGCCTGCAGCAAGCTGAGGAGCGGCCTCATGGTGAGGAGCGACCAGCATTGGCGCGAGGTCGACCGCTGCCTCGCCTACCTCGCCGACACCCGTGACACCGCCCTGGAGTTTGGCGGTGGACCAGAGTCGCTGGAGCTGATCGGCTACGTGGACGCCGATGATGCGGGCGACAAGCAGAACCGGACGAGCACGGGCGGATACGTGTTCGTATTCGGAGGGGCCGCGATCTCCTGGTCGAGCCAGCGCATCAAGTGCGCGACGCTCTCCTCGACCGAGTCAGAGTATGTCGCGGCCACGGACGCCGGCAAGGAGGGGCGTCGACTGCGCTTCCTCCTAGCAGAGTTCAAGCTGCTCGACGCAGGGAAGCCGACCGTCCTCCGCGTGGACAACAAGTCGGCGATCACGTTCGCTGAGGGCTTGGGGCTGACGGGCAACCTCAAGCACATGGAGCGACGCTACGCATGGCTGCAGCACATGGTGAGGCGCGGGAAGTTTGTGCTGAAATACATCCCGACCACCGAGCAGCCGGCGGACTTCCTGACGAAGGCGCTGCATTTTCCGGATTTCAACCGGTGTTCTGTCGCCATCGGGCAAGTACGTATGGCTAACGTCGGCGACGGGGATGATGATGTGCAGCAGTAGGTGCCGTGCCCTTCTGCACGGCTGGTGCGGTGACGGCGTGCTGTGTGTGGGATGCACGCCGAGGACAATTTTTTTTCCCGTGGAGTACTGCCGTGTGGGCTGGAGGCCCAAGCGTGAGCGCGGCAGGGGAGTGTTAACGGGAATGGAGTGTTGGCCCCGCCCTCGCTTGGGCAACGCCGACGACTTGGTCGGATGTACGGGAGTGGCAGCCGACCGTTCACAGTGGGAGAGCTGCTCGACAGGCTTGGTCGAGCTGCAGGGGACCGCTATGGTGTTGCTGTCGACCAGGGAGCTCGACAGCTGCAACTGACTGGTCTGGGCGACGGGTGGGCCGTTGACCAGGAGGGGCAGTTCGACCAGGAGGTCGACGGAGCAGTCCGTCGACCTGCAGTTCGACCGGGAGGTCGACGGAGCAGTCCGTCGACCTGACAACTGAGCAGCGGTCGACGAGGGGAGCTCGGCGACATCACCTGCCAGTTCTGGTCGACGGAAGGGGTCCGTCGACCAGGGGGTAGCTTGACGGGAGCTGTGGTCGACCAGAGGGACCTGGTGGTCGACCAGAGGAACCCAGTGGTCGACCAAAGGCACTGGTGGTCGACCAGAGCACTTGGTGGTCGACCAGGTCGACCGGGTAACCTGCTCGACGAGTTCTGCGGAGGCACGCGAACGTCGTCGAGGTCGCGATGGCGAAGGCGACTTCAGGCTGGTATCCTGAAGTCGATGTGGCTCGTCAGGCGCAGACATCAGCCGACGGATGCCCAACGAGGCAAGTCGGACCAATCGTCTGCGCGCACCTGCGAGCGTGCGCACTGCTGTCTTCTACGGGGCAACGCTGGACAGCCGCTTTGCTGCAGCGTTGGCACGCCGTCGACCTGCAGTGTTGGTAGGTCGCCCTTCTGCAGTGCTGGCGTGGCTCCTCTACGCAACGCTGGCAGGTGGTCGACCAAGCTGTGCTGGCGGTCGACCAGGCTAGCTGCAGGGTTGCTAGGTGCCTGATGTAGTCATTCTATCATTGCTTGTTCAATTATTCTCTAATTCCAACTTTGCTAGTGAAACTCTTGCCAATTTCTCCCGTGAATGTGCAAGTGCTAAGGAACTAAGCAAAGCTACGATCACTCCTAGTAGTTCGTGCCAACCCCCGTAGTCTAGCTCGCTACCGTTGTAGAGTGACTCTCCGCACTTCAAACGCCCCATTGGCCGCCTTCACTCTGACGGTGGGGGGGAGTTCATGAATAACACTCTCTCCACATACTGCAAAACCTACGGCATCCAACAGACCTCCACTCTTCCCCACTCCCCTTAGCAGAACGGCATTGCTGAGAGTCGCATTCGTGAGATCACCAAGATAGCTCGTTGTCTCATTGCTCATGCCTCCACCCCTCCTTCCCTCTGGAGCTATGCCCTTCTCCATGCCGCCCTCCTCCTCAATCTCCGCTCCCACCCTCAGCTCCCCTCTTCCTCTCCCACAGAACTCTGGTCAAAGGCCAAGCCTGACGCTGCCAGCCTTCGTGTGTGGGGCTGCAAGGCGTTCGTCCTCATTCCACCGGCCGATCGCTCCCGTGCTGCTGGCAAGCTCGCCCCTCGTGCCCTGGAGTGCGTCTACCTCGGGCACAATTGCGATTCCCCAGGCTACCTGTTCCTCCACCCTCCCACCAACCGCCTCATCCGCAGCGTTGACGTCGTCTTTGACGAGTCCATCCCCTACTATTCCACTCCTCCTCCTGACCCTCTTCCTCCTCCCACTCGCCCCCTCGCTTGGACCGACACCGTCCTCCCCCCTCTTCTCCCTCCCGCGCCTCTCCTTCCACCTGTCGCCGCCCCGCTCCCGCCTTCCTCCTCTGCTAATGTCTACGACCCTGCCGCACCCGCCTCCCCGGCACACTCAGCTGCACCCCCTCCCCCCTCTCCCTCCTCCTCTCATTCTCCCCCTTTGCAGAAGCAGGAGGGGCAGCAGCGGCAGCCGCAGCCGGGGCCGCAGCAGCAGCAGCAGCAGCAGCAGCAGGGGCAGCAGCAGCAGCAGCACCTGCAGGGGCAGCAGCAGCTGCAGGGGCAGCAGCAGCAGCAGCATCTGCAGGGGCAGCAGCAGCAGCAGCAGCAGCAGCAGCAGCAGCAGCAGCAGCAGGGGCAGCAGCAGCAGCAGGGGCAGCAACTGCAGGGGCAGCAGCAGCAGCAGCAGCAGCAGCAGGGGCCGCGGCAACAGCAGCAGCAGCAACAGCAGCAGCACCACCAGCAGCAGCAGCAGCAGCGGCGCCGTGCCACTTCCCGCTCCTCCCCCTTCCTCCTCCCTCACATGCACACCCGCTCTGTGGACAAAATCCTTGGGGATCCTCCTCCTGCCTCCATTCAGCTCCTTGAGGACTCCCATGAGGAGTTCCTCAACATCCAGGAGCATACTCCTTTCCTTGCCTCCCTCTACCTTGACTTCCTGGGCTTTCCCGTCCTTGGTGCCACCACTACCCCCGCCATCTTCACTCCCTCCACCTTCCAGGAAGCCATCACCTGCCCTGACGCGGATAAATGGATAGCGGCAATCTTCCTGGAGTGTGAGGCATTCATTCGCAACGACTCCTTTGTCGATGTCCCCCTCCCAGCCGGCGCCAACCTCGTCGAGGGCAAATGGGTCTTTCGGGTGAAGCAGCTGCCGGGTGAGGAGCCGGTCTACAAGGCACGCTACTGCGCCAAGGGCTTCACGCAGACTTGGGCCGAAGATTACTGGTTCACCTACGCCCCCACCGCCAAACCACCCACCCTTCGCGCAGCCCTCGATGTTGGTGCGCGTGACAACATGGAAATCTGTTCCATGGACGTCTCCAACGCGTTCCTGCAGGGTGACCTGCACGAGCGCATTTTCCTTCGGCGGCCCCCTGGGTTCCACGCGGCCTTTCCTGAGAACACTGTGTGGCAACTGCGTCGCCCTGTCTACGGTTTGAAGCAGGCGCCTAGGGAGTGGCATGCGAAGCTGTCTGCCACTTTGGGGTCCCTCGGCTTCTCTGCTTCGCACTCTGACGCCAGCCTCTTCATTCGCTCCTCCCCTCGCCGCTTCTTCATTCTGGTGTATGTGGATGACATGATCCTGTTTTCTGACTCCAAGGATGACATGGCGCAGATGAAGCTGTCACTACAACAGCGTCTCAAATGCAAGGACCTGGGCGATCTCACACACTACCTGGGCATGACCATCACGCGCAACCGCCCGGCTCGCACCATCACTCTCTCCCAATCCCATTACATCGGCCAGGTCTTAGAGAAGTTTGAGATGGCGCAGGCCAGGCCCGTGTCCACCCCCCTCCCATTCGGTCACCAGCTCGCCCCTCCCACTTCTCCCTCCTCCTCCCCTCACCCCTATGCCGAGCTCGTTGGGTCGCTGATGTACGCGATGATGTGCACCCGCCCCGACCTAGCCTACCCCATCAGCGTGCTCGCACGCTTCGTTGGCACCGGTCGTCACACTGAGGAGCATTGGAAAGCTGCCAAGCGGGTCCTCCGCTACCTTCGCGGAACCAAGGACCATGTCCTCACCCTTGGCGGCCCCTCCCCTCCTCTCCTCTCGGGCTTTAGTGATTCCTCCTGGGCTGACTGCCAGCCGGACCGCCGCTCCTCCCAGGGCTACGGTTTCACCCTTGGCAGTGGCCTCATCAGCTGGCGCTCCACTCGCTCCTCTGCCATTTCTCTCTCCACCTGCGAGGCTGAGCTCTACGCTGGCACCATGGCCGCCCAGGAGTCTCGCTGGCTCTGCTTTCTTCTTGCATAACTTGGCGCCCCACAGCCCTGCCCCACTCTCTGGTGTGACAATGCCAGCACCATCCACCTCACCCAAGACCCCGTCTATCACGCCCGCTCCAAGCACATCGAGCTCCGCTACTTCTTCATCCACGAGCTCGTCCAGCAAGGCCTCATTGCTGTGAGGAAGATTGCGGCGGAGGCCAACTTGGCCGACATCTTCACCAAGGCCCTCCTTCGCCCTGCGCACTCTGCTCTCCTCCGTCTCATTGGCCTTGCTCGCCCGGGCGCCCCTTGATTCAGGGGTTGTTCTCTTCTTGTGTTAGCATGCTAAGGGGTTGTGTTAGAATTATATGTTCTAACATGCTAACACTTGTGACTGTACACCAATTGTGGTGTACAGTTGGGTTGGGACTACACCCAACTTTGGATGTAGTCTTGCATTGGGGTGCCAATCCACCCAATTGTGGTGGAGCCCCCAAATGCAACCCACTTGGCCTAAGGTTGCCTCACTTCCCAAAAGTGAGGCCAACCCAACCCAAGTGGGCCTGAGGTTGCCTCACTTCCCACAAAGTGTGGGCAACCCAACCCACTTGGCCTAAGGTTGCCTCACTTCCCAAAGTGAGGCCAACCCAACCCATGGCCAACCCAACATTTCCCCTCCAAGCTTCTCATCCAACCTATGTATGCTTGTTTCTCCTCTAATGAATTCAATGGTTTATGTTCAACTCTACTTTCACACACCATCCTCTCATCCGCCCATCATCTCATCCGCCCATCCTCTCATCCGCCCATCCTCTCATCCGCCCATCATCTCATCCGCCCATCATCTCATCCGCCCATCATCTCATCCGCCCATCGTCTCATCCGCCCATCATCTCATCCGCCCATCCTCTCATCCGCATCCGCCCATCATCTCATCCGCTCATCCTGTCACCGTCGCCCACGCTTCTGCCTTAGTGCTTTTCCCCGCTCTCTCTCCCCTACCCACGCTTCATCTCGCTCACCCTTCCGCCCTTCCTCCGTGTCTCCCTTGCTCATTTTCTGCCTCCGTGCATTCTTTGTTCCCCACCATGCATCAGAGTTTGTGGTTCGTGTATGTGCAGGTCTGCCATGCATCCAGTTGTGATGTGTATAGGGTTTGATAATATTAGTCGTCTACAATAGCTATGCCATGTACCGTTATTGATGTTGGTTGGATGCGTCTCATAATACAGTACATCGTGATTTGGAGCATTATGAAAAGGTGAAAAAAAGCAAAATAATGTTCCATTGATGTTGCCAAGACAAGACTATAAGCACAAGCACAAATCTAGGAGGTGGTAACTTTTCAACCCACTCCTGTTGGGACCCATGGTGCTGGCACCTGTACAAGCATGGTTCTGTATGGAACGGGGAGGGAAGAGGGGATATGGCAGAATAAGCGAGGGGTGAAGGTGGAGGGCATGTATGGGAGGAGTTAGGCAGAGGAGTGAGCGAAGCGGGGAAGAGAGTGAGCAGGGTGGAGAAGGCGGTGAGCAAAGGGGATAGCCAGTAAGCATGGGGCTAAGGAGGGGAAACGAGAGGGCTTGGGGGGGAAAGAGGGTTGAACGAAGGGGAATAGAGAGTAAACAGGGTGAAAAGATGGGTGAGTACAGGGGGAAAGAGAGTGACCAGAGGGGGAGAGAGTGAACAGTCGAGAGAAAAGGATGTGTGCACTATCGAGAAAGTTGGGTACAAGTAACAAAACCTATACCCTACATTAGCTACCCCACTAAAGCCTACATTTTATTATGACACAGGCATATACTTTGACACACCCCCATAGGCAAAGTGGGGGAGAGCAAGGGGTTACAAGACCAGTCAAGAGAAGCAAAGCAAGCTCAGGGTGGATCACAACGTCACCACACATACTGAGCACAAGCAAAGGGCCACAAGGCCAGTTCACATGCAGAGGTATATATGCAACAACAACAGCACAGTGATCTCTACCTAGCAGAGCAAGCATGCAGGTATATATATAGATCACAGTACAAGCAAAGTCTACAGCAAGTGAGGAAACGTGGGCACAAGGCCTAACAGAGTGCAAAAACGCTGATGATCACCAGACGGAAGCGCCTTGGTGAATATATCAGCAGTGTTGGCCCGAGTGGCCACGTGAGCAAGACGAAGCTGACCACGCTGCTGCAACTCTCGAGCCAGGAAGTAACGCAGAGCGATGTGCTTCGTTCTGTGCTCCAGTCTGTGCTCGACACAAGGCAATGGCGGCCTTGTTGTCGACGTACAGCACTGGAGGAGAACGAGGCCGCTCTCCCAAGTCGGTCAGCAGGTAGGTGAGCCAGCGTAACTCCTGTGCAGCCATGGCTGTGGCGTAGATCTCAGCCTCACAACTGGAGCTGAGAACTGAAGACGAGCGTGTAGAACGCCAAGAAACCGAACCAGAGCCAAGGCTGAAGGTGTAACCCTGTGACGACCGCTGCGTAGCCTGGTCGTCAACCCAAGAAGCGTCTGAGTGCCCAGTGAGGACAACGTCGCTCCGTCCTCCAAGCACGAGCCCCATGCCCGATGTACTGCACAAGTAGCATAGTACCCTCTTAGCAGCATCCATGTGCACCTTTCGGTGCCGACCAGGAGCCACGTAGCGAGCCAGAAGGCCAAGAGGGTACGCAAGGTCAGGATGAGTTTAGGTCATCAGGTACATGAGGCAGCCCACTAGCTCTGGGTAAGGACCACTCGGCTCTACGGACTCGTCCGAAGGTGGAGCTGAGAGCGAGTGACCTGTAGCCAGAGGAGTGGCCTGTGCCGAGGACCAGGTGAAGCCGAAGCGCTGAAGGACCTGCTGCACCATGTGTGACTGAGTCAGTGTGATGGTGCGGCGTGCTCTGTCCCGGGTGATCCGCAAGCCAAGATAGCTTGTCAGCTCACCCAGGTCTGTGCACGTGTGTCTCTTCTGCAGCTCCGACTTCACCAGGGCGAGAGCCTCAGTGTCAGCAGTGGCAAAGACCAAGTCGTCGACGTACACGAGGATGTAGAACGGCGGCAGCGAAGTGTCGGTGCGCAGAAACAGCGACGGGTCAGCAGTCGACGGAGCAAACCCAAGAGCCGCAAGTGTCGTCCTCAGTGTGTCGTGCCACTCACGTGGCGCCTGGCGGAGACCGTAGACCGCCCGCCTGAGGCTCCACTGGGTACCAGGAGGGAACAACCCAGTGAAGCCAGGTGGGCGGCGCAGCCAGATCTCCTCGTGCAGGCTGCCCTGTAAGAAGGCTGTGCTGAAGTTAAGAGAGTGAAGCTCGTAGTCACGCTGAGCGGCAACGTGCAGCAGCACCCGAAGAGTGGTCATCTTCGGGGTGGGGGAGAAGGTCTGGAAGAAGTCTACTCCCTCTCGCTGACTGAAACCTCGTGCAACGTAACGCGTCTTGAAGGCAGGCAGAGAACCCGGCGGCCGCTTCACCCTGAAAATCCACATGCCACTGACGATGTTCGCCCCAGGTGGGGGAACCTCGTCGACGTAGGTGCCTGTGGACTTCCAGGATGCCATCTCTGCGTCCATGGCTGTCTGCCACTGAGAGGAGTACTCACCCGCGATCGCCTCAGCGTAAGAGCGCGGGGTCGGGATGTCTGGAGCATCCGGGTCTCCCTCAGGGGCAAGCAGCATG